TGCTCAGTTTGCGATCTGGTATTACTAATTATGGACAACCATTCAAGCCATGGTATACTAAAAGTAATTGGTTACTGTAAATAAAATGGAATTGCTATTACATTAATACCCCACACATTTCACCGCTTGCAGCCAAGGCGTTCTTGAAATAGCCTACAATCAAGAATGAGACAACTTCATTAAGTCTTTTATCAAAGAATTCAACAGACTGATATCGCTGAACTATTTAAAGTGTCTTAAATCGGAAATGCTACAAAAGAGTTTGAGTCAACTGGTATTTATCCCTATAATTCCAATGTCATCAATCCAGAGGAAATGGCACCACACGAGGAGGAGTAGCAAGGAGGTAAAGTTGAAGGTGAAAACAACAATTCGGAACACAAAACCGCAAAGAAAAATAAGAAAACTGTAGCAATGAAGAATAACTATAAAAATCCAAGACCTGGAATATCGAGCTACCATAAAACTCAAATTGTGAGATTAAAAAAGACCGCTGTGTCGGTTAATAATTCACCAGAATCTTCAGAAGATTTTGCGATTTCACAGATGATAAAGAATAAACTGTAAGACCAAAAATTTTATATTTAAAGACTGACGGAATGAAAATAATTTTGTATCATTATATGAAGCTATTTAACGAAAAATGGCATTTATTCCCACCAAAAGTGATCAGTTACACTATCTCGAATTTGACATTGACGTAAAAATGTAATACAAAGGTGCGGACAATTTAGCATCGTCATAGCGTCTTCTCTTTATTTTATCTCAATGGTTGTTGTCAATCCCAAATACAAAATCATTGCGTGTCAAAAAACTTCAAAGAAAAAACTCACAAATCTTCACCGTCACCCCAAATAGAGGAGATCTGAAATCAAAGGAAAACTAAGAACATTAGGTCTTGCTGAAAACAAACAAGTAAACAGAAATATGGCAGGAGCAAATGTCGAAAATAAATCGACAGATAAGGAAAACAATAAATCGAAGAAAATAATGAAACAACAAGAAGTTGCTATGAAACCGAAGAATTTGGGAAAGATGGCGAGTGGTGGGTTACTTGCAGTAGCTGTGCCAAATCTTCACATGTTTAATGTGCTGGTTGTGACATTAGTAAACCCTATACTTGTGATTTTTGTTGATAGAATGTTTTTTTTTCTTTAATAACGTTTATTATTTTGTTGTATTATGATATGGTCGGTATTAATCTAGCTTTACGAGAAATTTTGACCGAAACATATTTTTCAGTTTTTTTTTTATTTAAAGTTAATTTTTCTTTATTGTACGTTATTTCAATAAAAAGTAGGTTGAGGGATGTGTTTGTTGACAAGTGCCAGCGAAAGATCACCAAAATTCACAAAAATAGTCTCTGAATTCGAAAATGATTGTTACCTGGTTGGAATTCCCCTAATCTCCCATAACTTACTTAGATAAAACAAATGAATAATAGATAACTAACGGTCTGGATTTGTTTCAAGCCAATATGATCCATTTTTTCTCCATGCTTTCTCCTGGGTCTTTAATGTGATTTGTCTATTCTAAATAGCAGATCCAACATTTTCTTACACCTGTAAACAAGCACTTCAGAAATGTCAATTTTGTTAGTACATTTTGTGTGATTTTATATTCACAGGGCCTATTTTTAAAGCTTTTAGAGTTTCTAAAACGTTTTTTTAACGAATTTTGTTAGTTGTAAGTCTAAAAATTACCATTTAATATCTGGAGATGATTCACGTTGTTTCAAAGGTAAGTAAATAAAAAAGATGGGCGGTACACGTATATTGTAGAATATTATTAGTAATTTTTTATACATGCCTAAGTAATATATAAATTAATTATTACTTTATAAATAAATTTTAAATAAATAAACTATAAATAAATTAAACAAACATTACATTGTTGTCAAAAGTTGGATTGTAAATAAATAGTGGACAAAAATGGCTAAAAAACTGTGTAATTTTAGTGACAGAGTTACGTCGGGAATTAGAAGATCGTGAACTGGAGGCAACAGGGAAGAAAGCAGAGCTGACAGAGCGACTTAAAGAAGCAATTAAAAGTAATTAATTTTCGGGTGGTACTTCTCCTATAATTTTTTCAATTTCTTCCGATATGAAAACCGAAAAATCTTAATATAACATTTACAATTTCACATTTTTTTGCTAAAATTATTTTGTAGTTGTAAAAAAAATATTGTAAATTACTTGTTTAAAAGTAGTAATGTAATATACTATTACTAATGCACTTTTTTTTTATTAAATTTTTCTTTTTTTTTATTTGGTTCTTTGTCTATAAGATATATTATTACAAAAGAAATCGATAACTAAATTAAAAGAGTCCGATTACAATAAGAAGAACGTCATAACCATTATTTCGAATTTCATATTTATAATAATATTCTATATAACTTTCATTGAATAAATAATGAGTAAGTTGTAAAGTACACAAAAATAATTCATATATTCCTATAATATTAACATAGCACTCAACCCACAGTAGGGGGCGTTATCCAACAAATTACTACGCCAAGTGATGACGTAGCTGTGTTCTTATTGTAATCGGATCCTACCTACCAATGCATTTGCCCTTTGAAAGGGCGCAAGATGCGGAAGTTATTATGTCATTGGTACAGTTTAACTGCACAGAAAAAAAGGTGTACTATAGTCAAGATGAATGGTCTTATTTCAATGCTTTGTTGTGTTTGTATATCCGCAAGTAAAACTCGTCTCGATTTGAAATTCTAGTAATACTTGTTCAGCAATAGCTAGTAAGTCTTGCTTCAAAATTAAAATCAACTTGCCCTAACACAAATGTCTCTAATTAAATAGAGAGTATCTATTTTTGTTCAATTGCAGTTTTATGTACATCTTAAATGAAATAGTCTTACACTTTTTTTTAAATATACTTTAATTATATTTAATAATGCCTTGTTTTTAAATCCAATACAACTAAATTTGTTACAATAATTAATATGAACTGTTCCAAAAAAATGTTAATATTTGCTTTGACATAAACATATTGATTTTGGTTGAATTACAGGATAGTTTCATTTGATACGCGCATGTACGAAAATAAGTGTAATGTTCTAAGATTGTGTATCACTCAAAATCATGTTATCTGTCAAAATCAGTCCAAGCTGTGTTTAGTCTGTGAGCTGTTAAGTAGGGTGGAGCGTCGCTATAGGGCAATTTTTTTTTTCTAAAAATTCAAAACTCCTGTACGCAGAAAAGTTGCGTTTAAGTAAGCTAATTATACTGTATCTTTTGTAATAGGTTTTTTTACCCCTTCCACCCCCCCAAAGGTTTAAAAATGAATTTTTATTTTTTTGCAAATAATGAAACGCCTGTCCTTATATTATGTTTACATTAAGGAGAAAAAAGTGCTGTAAATTTTTATTTTTTTTTTTCAGTAACCAGATCCACCTCCCCAACCCCCTTTAAAATATTTAGCTTTCCATTAGCATTCAATAAGTCACATAAATTTCGTCTATACGCAGAAAAGTTGATTGATAGGGAGCGTGACCATATTCCATGATATATAATTCACTGCGCCTGCGTAATTACGCAGGCAAATGTGTGGGAGCGACGCACAGTGGGGCCAAATCCCGAAATCCTGGCCAAAACCTCAATAAATCAATTTTCTAAATGGGTACTTTTGAGCAGTCAGTCAGGTAGAGGACTAATGGATGCATCCATTGTGAAAGAGTAACCGTTTTTGATCGTATACCTTCGTCGCTGCGTTAGTTTGAAGTTAGCATTCGTGGAGAGTACAAGCATCGCGCGCTGAAGGAACGAAAACTAGGGTGACTTCTAAAATCAATATTTTTCAAATGAAGTATTCAATTTTAATTCTGAGACATGGACACGATTTCTGGAGGTATGTAGAAAATATTATATTAATTGAGCTCAAATGTAATGTGTAAATTATTGAAATGTATATACTCTTGCATTAATAAAATTAAAGAATTTTGAAAACTTACATTTTCAACTAGTCGAAAAGTTATCGGTTCCAACTGGTTCCGCGAAATCCAAAGTGTCGGCTTTTAGTTTACTTTATTATCTTGCCAAATTAACAAAAATCAGCTGCCTAGAGGTGCCTACTCGATTATTATCATGTTTTTTCACATCGGGCGATTGTCGACAGCGCACACGCACAGCACAATAAAGCAGCGAATACAATAAGATTGTAAAATCCGGCACGAAGTATTAGTATAACGCCGCGGCGCATATTTGTTTATGTACATATAAATATTGGTTTTATAAACTGTGGTTAAAAAAAATAATTTGTTGATTTATAATATTAAAAAAGACAAAAGTATCCTTTGGGCAATTGTAATCAATATCTTATATAAATCAATCAATAGAGAAAAAGCACTTAATTTTTTCAACATGACCGGACACGCCAATGCAATTCTCAACTAATGTAATCAATAAAGTCCATAAAGTCAGTTCATATATTGTAACTATTGTTTTTATACATTTTTGGGAAAAACATGTTTGTTAATTTAATAATTTAATATTCAACCAAAAGGGAAGTATCCTCCGAGCGATTGTATTTAATATTATAGTCCATAAAGTCAGTTTATATTTTGTAACTATTGTTTTTATAAACTTTTCGGGGGAAAATAATTTTGTTGATTTAATAATTTAATATTCTTTCGGGTGATTGTAATTAATATAGTAGTCGATCATGTCAGTTTGTATGTTATTTCTTTGAGCTGTTAAATATTCCGAACTATCATATGTTAATCGGTTTTTTAATCGTATGTCTTAATTACAGTATCCACGTATGAAGAAATATCGTATAAGAGCAAAGAGATATTTATCACCATCAAACAGTATCTGAAAGAACATTCAAACTCAATTATAAAAATTCTTGAAAAAAAAAACTGTCTGAACATAGTAAACGCTTAGTTCAGGTATCTGAAGACTCAAGAGCATCGTTTACAATGCTGTTCAATAAAATGTGGACAAAGTGGCAAGCGGCTCGTAGGACTTTTTTAAAGAACAATGAAGAATGGCTCAGCGCGCCGGTTGTTTTTGCCGTACTTGCCGCTGTCCAGACAACACCAGGTGAAAAAGGTGGCCGCCCGTCCAAGGAGTTTAAAACTTCCAATGATCGGTCAAAACGAAGGAAAACCGAAGGTATTCGTGGAAGCTTCACCTCGGACGAGATAGCATACGCTACTCAAATGAGCCTTCGATCTACAGGATAATTAGACGCTTAAGCAGTTTTGAAAGAGATCACATCGACGAGTCCATTAAGAGCTTCTAAGTACCAAAGAGCTTACGGAGTAGCAAATGAAATTCCATTGTTCGAAGAGGCAACACTTTCCGTTTTGATCGAATATAAATTCTCAAAGAGTCAATACCAAGGAATAAGAGCAGTTAGCAAAGGAAACAACTCCAAATTATTTCCTCCTTACAAAGCAGTGATAAAAGCGAAAAAACTGCTATCACCATTACAGAGATTAGTGCAGAAGTCGAAGTACAGGCATTACTGGACCATACAATTGACCGTATTTTACTCGTCCAAAATGAAGTCATTGGAAGTTTAACACAACAGCATGTTCGTAAGTTAAATTTAATTTGCAAATGGGGTTGCGATGGAAGCTCTGGGTAGTGAATATAAGCAGACGTTTGCTAATAGCAAATCAGATGCGCATGTATTCTTCACATCAGTTGTGCCATTACAACTCGTGACTATCGACGAAGAATCAAAGGAGCAAATCACTGTTTGAAAAAACCCTAGGCCTTCGTCTCCACGATTTTGTAGACCACTTAGACTACAGTTTCTGCGCGAAGACTCAAAGTCAACACTCAATGAAGTTCGAGTCATTGAAGAACAAATAAAGAATCTTCGTCCATTTGAAACTGTAATAGATGGGAAGCTCGTCTCCGTCGTCTACAATTTGGCATTTACCACAATAACAACAGCACCAAAAACAAGAATAATAATAATAATAATAACAACATTCAGAATAATTCTAATATTTAATAAATGTTGTCACTATAAATTGGATATTGGCTTACTTGCGCGAATAGCAATAAGTTCTTGTTAGGTTTCTTTAGGTACTTTTAAGGGTCTATTTCGGGGTATTTTCATCGGCTATTTTGCTTATAATAATTTTGACTTCGGAAACGTAATCAGCAAATTTAAAAACTCAATTATACTCATTTTTGACAAGATCTGGCAACTTTTTTATTTACATGACCGCCATATTGGATCGGCCATTTTGTCAATAATAAATTGGACTTCAGATTCGTAATCAGTGTCCTTGAAAACTCTAATATACCAATTTTCGACAAGATCTGGAACCTTTTTCACTTGTATGGCCGCCATATTGGATCGGCCATTTTGTAAATAATAATTTAGGCTTTGGATTCGTAATCAGCGATCTCAAAAATCCATATACCCCAATTGTTGTTAAGGTCTGGCACCTTTTTCACTTCTGTCTCCGCCATATTGGATCGGCCATTTTGTTTATAACAATTTAGACTTCGGATTCGTAATCAGTGGCCTTCTAAACCACTGTATATTAATTTTCATTTCGATCAAAGTTTATTTGAGGTTTTGGTTAGGATTTTGAGATTTGGCCCCACTGTGCGACGGTCTGGCTAGACACTTGTGTCTGTTTGGAATCACAAGTCCAGTCTTGTCTTAAACACGGCACGCGCTGTATGCAAATTATAAATCTTGTGTTTTTTATCTAGTTCGCTGATTGTTTGTAATAGTATTTAAACAGATCTAAGTTAAAATGTCCCTAAAAACTAGAAGTGATGTTAATTGCCTAATTTTTGGAGCTACGAAAGAAATAAGTGAGGTTACGTTGCCCACATTTCATAATGTCATTCAGTGTTTCTTGTTTACAAGAAATTATCTTGAAGGTATTTCAGTAAATAGAAATCGGTTAGTGGTAGAAGCAGCAGACATTATCGCTTAAAAGATTGAATTTATATGGAAAAAGGCTGGTATTCCTACAGTGAGTCATCAAAGAATTGTAGAAATTATTAAAAAGTATCAGCTGAAACGTCAAAATTTACTAAAACTATATAAAGAGAGAAACCATATTGCCACTTACAAGCTAAAACACGACGCCTTTAAGGCAGAGGGACAACGTTTATTTGATGTAGCATTTTGCAAATGTACCAACTTTGAAACGTGTGTTTGTGATAAGCTACATAAAGTAAAACATCTATTTATAAAACATAATTATATAAAACTTTACTCTAAAAAAATATATTAACAAAAAAATGCATTTTATTTACAGGTTCCACTGAAAGAGCAGTCCTTTCTGCTAGATCAACGAACTAATCGAAATATGGTGATAAGTCATGTCGACAAAAAATATTTGATTTTACAGAGAAGGAGAGAGAAAAGAATACCCAAGTATAAGAATAAGCAGTTTCAACTTAGTTTAAGTGTTAATACCTCCATTGAGGAAAGTAATGTTAGATCTAAATATAAAGAAAAGAATGTAACTCCAAAATTTTCAGAAAATGAACTTGATGTAAGTCAACCGAGTACATCAGCAATATCCGAAGTACCTCTTCGAAATTTAAAAACTCTTCCGGTGTTAGCAAACACCCTAGATCGCTACGGTGTATCAGATAGAGCAGGGGCAGCAATAGCGTCAGCTGTATAACAAGATTATGGTGTAATTAAAAATGAAGACAATCAAAAAGTAAGAAGATCTCGTGACAATCAACGACGAAAGCTTCAAAAGTTACAGAGCGATGCGATAGTTTTAAAAGGTCTTTATTTTGAAGGTAGAAAGGATAAGACCCTGTTTTTTCTGACAAACGAAAACGAACTAGCACTGAGGAACATATAGTCTTACTACAAGAACCTGATTTTATTTATCTTGGGCACTTTTCTCCTGTCAGTGGATCTGCACAAAATATTGTGAAAAGTATGCTGGAGTTTTTTCATTTGTCATCTATTTCGACTGATCATTTGCAAGTTATAGGTTGCACGGTACTAATTTAAATACGGGACATAAAGATGGAGTCATAACCTTATTGGAACATCGAGTTAAAAGACCATTGCAATGGTTTATATGCGAGCTTCATGCTAACGAATTACGGTTACGCCACTTAGTTCAACATTTAGATGGTAATACATCTGGTCCTCGTGCTTTTCAAGGACTCATTGGACGAGCTCTTAATGAGTGTGAGAAGCTTTCCATAGCTAAATTTCAAGTTATTAGCAGTACACTTCCCAATATTTCCTTTGATGATTTGGGAACCGATCAAAAATATTTATTTGACATTTGCCAGGCAATTATAAATGGCACATGTTCTGAAAGCCTATCTAAATGCAATCCAGGAATGCTTAATCACTCTCGTTGTTGACAACGGCAAATATAATTCTTCGCTTATATGTTGCCAGTTAAAATCCCTCAGAAGAATTATTAATACTAACTACATTTGTTATGAAGGTTTACGCTCCGATGTGGTTTGTAATAAAGTCAAAACCTTCGTGCCTTTACGGGGCGAAGCATGTATTTGAAACTATTAGGTTATGCAAATATTTACCAGATGAATTAAAAACTATTGTCTATCCTGTGATTCAAAGGAATGGATATTTTGGCCATCCTGAAAATATTCTAATAAGCATGTTATGGGACGAAAACAGTACCATAAGAAAACTTTCAGTTTTAAGAATTTTAAAAATTCGAAGAATTGAAAGTCCTGTTGGTGACATTACCATTGACATCCGAAAATTTACTATTCCAGAGTTTAATTTTGATGCGACCGCTTATTATGAGCTAGTTGACTGGCAGAATTTAAGCTACAGTGAACCTCCCATTACCAAGCGTTTATTTGAAAAACATTTATGGCAAATAGTAGAAGAACCTCAGTCGTCTGCCATTTTGCATATTAAAGACTATCCCTGTCACACACAAGCCGTTAAAAGGGCTGTTAAGCTTGTAACGCAAGCTTCCAGCACTGTGTGTGATAAAATCGTAGGGATGGTATAATTAGAAGTACACTTGAGTCGAGAAATCTTATGCCAAAGTTTGAAACGGAAAAAGATTTTAGGAACTAATGTTTTTCATGTTTGTAAAGTCACTAATGTATGTTTTATTTTGTATGCCTTTTGTGTTTTTATTTTTCCATAGATATACGTTAAATACAATTCTAATATTCATATATTGCTTTCATTTATTTTAATCTTGACGCGAGTCACACAAGCACTGGCATAAATAATAATTTCTGTTAACAAATATATTTAATATTTTGGAGGAAGCAAGGGAGGAAAAAAGGGAACAACATAAAATTCTACAAAAATTTCCACAAAACGTACTCTTCATGCACTTATTTTTCCGCCCACATGCGTTTTCAAATTGAGGGAAAAAAATTATAAATTGTTAAGGGGGTGGAGGGAGGTGAAAAGAGTGGCGTAAAAATCAGAAAAAAAAATAATTGTTCTCTTTTACTAAAACACAACTTTCCTTAATACAGGCATTTTAAATTTCCAAAATTAAATATGTCGCTCCACCCTACTGTTAAGTGATATGTTTTGGTGTTTTTTTGTGTTGTAACAGAATGTCTTGAGCTTGATATTTTTGTGCATACCGTTCTTGTTCATCCAAAACTGGCCAAAGATTAAGTTTATTTACTTTTCCAAAGGACTACGAACAGTAAATATCACGATTATTAATTAATTATAAAAATATTTTCAATAGATTACATTCCTCTTAGTACGATTTGGGGTACAAACATACCCCACCGTCACTATTTTCATCATATTTTAGTAATATTGATAATTGTTTAGTTTAGTATTTACTTAATAAAAAAACTTTGTAGTGCAAAAATGTGGATAGAAGCTTGCAGTAGGGAAGATTTACTACCGAAGATTGAATGTCCACAAAAACTATCGGCTTTGTGAAAATCATTTTAAAGGAAAATATTTTTCAAAAGGCTACAAGAAAATATTTGTTTTAATCATCCCTGCAAAAATTTTCCAACGGTATATATAAAAAAAAACTGTTCATGCGAATGAAGATTTTTTACACACTTAAATATTCTAATAAAGATACAAAATGTGCCAAAAAAGTTATTAGGAAACTAAGAATTTTATAACATGTTTAAATAACAATGTAACGTTTGTTTAATTTAAAAATAGTTTATTAATTAAAAATAGTTTATTTATAATTTATTTATAACGTACTAATTAATTTATTTAATAATTAGGTACTATTATAACTTACAATTCTAATTAAATTATTACAATTCGTCTTTACTATATCACACTTTCATTGAAACTTAACATCTGTTGACAAACTCGCGCTATTTATACAAAGCCAGCTCTGCACTAGAACATTCTCGACCCTCTAAAAACTCTGGAATGTCTTCATGTATGCTCAGCCGCCGCGCAAAGATTTCTCTGGTACATTGATAAGGCAACGTAAGGATACGTCATATGTATTATATTTGATATACAAAAGTGGGACCGGTAGGCGTGGCTTTTGCACTCACTAAAATGGCGGAAGAGCAGAACCGGATTTACAAGTTTTTATTGTACTATTTCTGGTTAAGCATCATTATTTGAATTATAAAAAAATGAATTTCCTTTTTATAGACATTGACTTAAAAGGTGGTGGAAGGCCGAGGTTATAAAAGAAGGGGGTTTAAAAGCTTAAATATGCCCGGTTTTCAGCCGAGAGGTGCTGAATAAAGTAAATGAAAGAAATAAAATATAACTGATTTAATTATCACTCAAGTGGCTATTAAGCGCTGGAGAATATATTATTTGCAAAATTGCAACTAATCAATGACCATGATATAACTAAGTTGGGGCCGATTCCACCATTGGGTTTAACGAAGTTTAAAATTACATTTTTATATAAAATGTAATTTTAATCTTCAATTAATAGTTTAAACTTTAACACAATGGTGAAATTAACCCTAAAGCGTTGAAATCATTCACAGAAAAAATAAATAGTACATGTTTGGTTCACATAAGCGACAAAAGTAAACAGAGTTCGATTTATTGGATCAGTCGTCACACGTTTGCACTAGGGCACATAAATAGCCCAATCTATAGTTTTTCGTTTTTTTATGAGCCCAATGCTTTCTGTCTTTAAATCGGAAAGTACAAGGTCGCAAATGTCAAGTAATCTAAAATCTATACTTACTTTAATTAACTGGAGTGCGTTTAGAAACCACGCACGGCGCGTCTGGACCCTATTCTAATGTACGTGGTCAGGCGCGCCGTACGAGGTTTCTAAACGCACTCCAGCTTTCTCGAAATTAAGAACAAATGTTCATACACTAAAAGCTCGATAATCAGATACGAAACTTAATGCAAGGCTCGCGGAAAATGGCTAATAAGCAGTCTCTGTGTAGGTAGATGCACTATTCAGGAAATCAAAATGTGGATTAATCTTACTTGGTCTTGGTCCTTTTGTAGATTCAGACTGAAAGGTGTATATCTTCATGCAAGACATTCAGTAAATCAGCGATGCCACAACCAGCGATGTGCTGGTGCACTTCTAACAAATGTAAAATATGAAGAGATGTTACTTGAGACCTATAGATCCAATGACGATATTATGGTAGTTGGTTTGAGCTGGGCTTCTCACCATCTGCAGAGATTATGGCTACTTATGTAAAGGCCTGCCGTAGTAACACACAATATGCACCACAAGCATGCCGGTCCAATTTAATTGATCTGTGCACAATAATCATGCATGTATGATTGAAAGTCAGACAAAGAATGTAAAGATAAAGTTGAAGTCTCAATCATAGTTAAAGTCACAGATGAAGTTAAAGTTAACAGCAGAAGAGTTGAAATTGTAGGCTGGTGATAAAGGGAGGCCAACATCTAGGTAATAAATGTTTATCGAGTTAGGAAAAGTATCCACTGTAAGCGTTTTTCTTGACCACTGAGGTAAAAACCAGAATATTTCCTTATACACAATTTCTTCGCTAGGCAAAATAAGAAATAAATTTGTAAGAGTACTTCCCAAGTGTTTTTCCAAAAGCTCTAAGAACAAAATTGACGAAAATGGCCTAATCCAAGTTCAAATTCTAAAACTTGAACATTACAGATAAGTATCTTACTGTAAAACAAGTAAAACCCCTTTGTTGACTAAATGGTTGAATAATTCATTACCTACGTGAAGGTAGAATAGGGACTAAAGTTTAGCAGAAAAAGCCACTAGAAATGATGAACAAAACAGACTGGGGCATATGAACGACAAGCAAATATTGTAAATGCAAATAATGTGTACTGTGATTAAATAAAATTGTACAAGGAATAAAGTTTTAATATTTTCTTATTCATATATATGAGTGATATTTATTTTTAATACTAGACAAACGGTTATGGTTTTGTTGCTAGTCTCATTAAAAAAAAACTAAGTGAGTATTGATGTTAAATGTTTATTATTATAAGTACTTATATACAGTATGTTCATCATATGCACTATATAAACTTAAATATCATATTCCTGAATTCATTTCAAGCATAAAATGTCCTATGCACAAATATCCAATTCTACATGGTTACCAAGCTAGAAGAGTTTAAATATCAAAAGATATATTAACATAGTATGCCATGTGTTGGAATATGTCGAAACACAGCACTGAATGTTTGGTGCCTTGGAACTTGTCGGCATGGAAATTGTCACTGATACTCCATACAAGCAGCTCGCGAATATTCATGACAAAATCATTAAAGGTACACTATTTTGGCATATTATTAATTTAAATTTATCATAAAAAGGAAACGTAGTTGACAAGTGTAGTACTGAGTAGCCAACTGACGTTTATAATTATTGTTGATAAAATACCAAAAGTTTTGAAAATGTGATATTTAAGTTTGTATAGTGCGTCTTGCAACATTTTTTTTAATAAATGCCCCAAGTAAAGAAACATTTACGATTATTACAATCTAATCATTAAAATCAATTAGAAATTTTATTCTAACTTATCAAGGGATGAAAAACTTCACAAATTGATATTCTACTATCTAGTATACCTTAGAGTCTAAATCACTTAACTGCACTATACTATGCTTTAACATCACTGAACTCAAAAGGCTTGGTCTCTTGAGTCTTCTTATTAGATTTGGCATTGTTGAGGAGCTGGATAATCTCGAGGTTTCCATGCTCGAACAGTTGTTGTTGTTGGTGACTACTGGCAAATTTTTGTATTGTATTTTCAACAGTCTTCACTTTAAGGTCCCTATGAAGATCAGTATTGTGGCAGTACCAGGGTGCAGCATTGACGTTGTTCCTTAATGCTTTATTCTGGAACCGTTGAATAACTTTGATGTCACTTTTCTGGCACATCCCCAAAGTTGGCGAATCGCTTCATTTTCACCAATTCCTTTAAACACACTAATCTGAAACAAATTATAGGTAATTAAAAAGGTATATTAATATTGTTTTAAATTAACTATAATAAAACAAACAATACTCATGCATACACAAAACATGAAGCTCTACTTTTCAATCAGCTGTAGAACTAATAAATAAAATTGGTGGAAGGACAGCAAATGTAGGTTATATTTAAATAGAAATAAGAATATAAAATGCCTATAAATTAAATTTGATAAACGAAATGGCGTACGATTAATGTACTTCTCAAGAAAATGCTTGAAACATATACTGCTGACTTTAGAAGGTTACCAATTATACTTATTGACAAACTGTATCCACGCGCTACGTATTATAGGATTTTTTGGAAATCTATAAATATTATTTCGTATGAAAAAGTATTATTCCAATATAGGTAGGCCCAACAGTTGATAGATAATTTTTTTTGCATTTTTAAAAGCATACTTTTACAAATTTTATACAAACCTGTCATAATACTGTCCTGTATAATATTTATAATTTTGATACTAACCTATGAAACGTTATTCCAATCGATTTTTCACAAAAACGTCTATCGCTAGAGCAGGAACGTATAACACAGCAAGGCATTATATACTTTATAAGTTTGTAACACTCAAAATTTGCTCAAACAC